TCATCTGAAGTTTTAGTCAGTCAAAGCATGACAAAAGGCAGGCAGCCTCTGCTTTGCATGTGCATTAAATGTTTATGTGTACAAAGATTGCTAGTATACTATGTTAGGGTCTTTGGGATAATTGTTAGGGTTTACAGAGACCTACAGATGCTGGTTTGTAAACCGTTCACACAGCTCTGGAATTTCCTATCTCCTCGGATCTATCTATAGGCTTACAACTCTGCAAATCTTGTTTGCCCCATGTGAATGGTTTATAAATGGGTTTATAAATGAGCCCCTAAGTGTCATATTCACAAGCATTGAGCAATAGCACATTGCAGTCTATCTTTGGTTTCAGTTTTTGCACTCATAGTTGTACTGCTAATGGCAAGTCATGCATTTCAGACCATAGAACAGCTCCATTGCCTGCACTTCAGACCTCCAAGCAGCCCCAGTGCATGTTCTTTAGGCCTCACCTCAGCCCTAATGCATGCACCTTAGACCTTAGATCAGCCCCACTATATAACCTTCAGACCTCATATCAGCCCCATATTTTCTGAAACACAGGGAACCAGTAGCCAGGCCTTTTCCTCAGCCGCCGAAGGTCTTTCAGTGATGTCAGGGATGGTCAGGCTTTGTAATTGACAACCTAGACAGTGGGCGCCAGCACAAACACCGTTACATATAAAAAAGAGATTGAAAACAACACTTTAAAAAATATTGATTAAAAAAGTTAACAAAAAAAAAACCCAAAACAGTAATAGTGTTCCTTTAATTTGAATGACCTGTATTGCCTTTTAGCCACCAGTTACCAAAACTTTATTTTGCCTACTATTTTCCAAGGCAGGTCTGAAGCAAATCAGTAGTTAATGGGAACTACAGAGAATTGTTTAACTTACATTGCTATAGAAGACCACTGCTTAGTTTGCCTCAAGACCATCCAACAGAACATAACCAGAGCACTAAATGAATAACAATACCTCATAGGAGTTGCTCTGTGTGAAGTTGTGAAGCAGCATGTCAGAGATGTTAACACTTGTATTAGACATCAGGAGTACACTCACATAACAAGTCTGAACACACAGCAGCTTGATTGATGTATTTGAACAGTTATATATATATAATTTATTAAAGGGATATGTGAATTTTTTTTCTAAAACAATACAGACTAATGATTTCAGGGCAGTTTCTTTATATTTATGAAGAACTATAACCCAATCTATGATTATACAGCAATGGAGTATGGCAACCAGCAACAGAGGACTACAGATCTCATCAATCCATGATTATTCAGGAATGGAGAATGGCTACCAGCAATCATGGATTGCTGAGATTTGTAGTCCTCCGTTGCCGGTTGCCATTCTCTATTGCATTTGGTTAGCACTTTGACATACACCAATAAGAGAAGAACAATAGGCAGCCACAGTATAAAAGTTTACTTAACTGCTCTCAAGAGGGTATGGCAGGCTCCAGAAGGGCTGTGAGGGTCACTCAGAAGTGCGTCTACGGCCGTTCACCAGGACTGTGTGCGGTCTCACCAGGTCTGCACGTAGATCTCATTAGGGCTGTGTGCTGCGTCTTATCAGGGCTGCATGTGAATCTCTCCAGGGCTGCGTTTGGGTCTCACCAGGGCTGCGTTCACGTCTTACCAGAGCTACAATACAGTGTTGTATTGGCTATTGCTGGGCTCTCTGGGGCTGCGTATGGGTGTCACCAGGGCTGTATGTTCAGCTCTCCAGGGCTGTACTGTCGAGTGCTGGGCGTCGGGCTCTCCAGTGCTGCGATTGCACATATATATTTTTTTTACAGAAAACTTAAGCATTTGATTTTATAGTAGTTAAGGGGGTCAAATCAATGACCGTTTTCAACTGTAGTGATGCAAACAGTTAAAGGAGCAGGATGGAAAAGTTTTCTCAGGCGGAAAAATGTCGCACGTCTCCGTTCACACTGCTCGATTCTCGTACGATCGCGGGATTTCCCGCGATTCTCGTACGAGAATCGAGCAGTGTATGGGCACCTTTACAGTGAATGTGGTTTTCATTAAAAAATCAAATGTAAAAACCGAAGATTTCTTCTAACTTCCTGTTGCGTCTCACAGACGGAAGTGTAGGAAAATCTCACCAACAGACATAGATGGCAAAAAAATAATCCGACAAGGGTTTCCTTTAATATGACAATATTTGTGCTCTTTATTTAGACGGGCGTTCTTCCTCAAATATCTTTTGCTTCTTGCTTGAAATGCGCAGCCCACATCCTCAAAACCCTTATCAGCTGTTTTTAGTTTGCTACATTCCACTTCATATTCTGAAAGCAATTAGCTATGATTGCTGACCATGATTTCTCTTTGCTCCAATTCCAATAAGATTGAGTAACACACCTCTCTGAAAGGCACTGTTTTTCTTTCACAATTGTTATTGAAAGAATAGTTTAATAATGTTTTACTTCCTGCTGACCAGCTTACATCTTTATTTTTGCAATATTAGTGCTGTCTTTGTGTGTGTTTATAACCACACACACTTACAGGGTTATTCACAAAAGGGTGAAGAGTTTGGAGAAGTGAACAATCTAGGCCAACATAACTGATAGAATAATTCTCCAGTTCAGCTCACTTTTCAGTTCAGCTATGTTGTCCTAGATTGCTCACTTCTCCTACCTTCTCCAAACTCTTCACCTTTTGTGATTAACCCTGTTAGTGCTTAGTCATGGCTGTATAAAACACTTCTGCTCATGATATGCTTTTCATATATCTGCGTGGATAGGGGTCTGGGGCTGAGTTATTCACAGCAACTAAAGAGACTTCTCCCTTTATTTTAAAATGGCACTTTTTAAATCAGAAGTAAAGTTCCAAAAATAAAAATATGCTGGGAGGTAGGGATTTTTGGCAGAAGAGTTGCTTCTGCCCAAAAAATTATTTCTCTACATTGTACGACACATGCTCCATGCAGCGTACACATTCAACCCATTCAAGGAATATCTAAGATTCCATGAATGGGCCCGATGCTAGAGAGGATGTAACTCCTGTATGCATGTGCAGGAATTACATCATCAGTGGCCACCTAATGGCCAAAAATGACTTCCGGAAGTGTCGGTGGCAGAGATGGTAGCAGTGGGGTACAAAACTGAAGATCAATCCGATGGTGCTGGATGGCACAATCGTGCCATAATGTGAGTATACTTGCACATTAGGGCAAAACCCACCATTCATATAGCCATGTACACTAGAAACATGTCAGCTAAAATCTTATCGGTTGTTGTGGGTGGCCTCAGTCCCTGTAATTCAAAAATAGTGTCATAGACACACATTAGAAATTAGTCTCCTCTCTGTGAAGAAAATGGTGCAACTTTTGACAGCTTCATTGTAACTGTTGGTCAGGTATATATGAATCTGTTGCAAAATTGCCTAAGACAGAATTTTGTCTGCGACACAATGCTTACATGTGAGACACAACATGGACGAGATCCTATTTACCTCCAGTTGCCTTATTACTGATCATGGCACCATTGCACCATTACTCAATGCATTTTGTGCAGCTGTAGTAACTGAATGTAAAAGTGTAAACATGATAAATTGTTGCACATGTTGGAAATAGCAAGAAAACAATTTCACAGCTTTCTTGAATTTGGTTCAGGGCTTTCTAATACGGCCATAGAGCCAGAAAAGTGTTGCAAATGCTTTATTGACTCATCCTCAGTAAGCTCTGCAACAACACCTATTGTAGTATGGCTAGTTAGTGAGGGCATTTAGTACAGACATTCTACACAAATTGTATTCAAGACACTGAAATTATTATTCTGAAGACTAAATACTATAACATTTCCTAGGGTTTACCCTAAACATGCTGCTTTTCTGACCCCTAGTGGCTAGCTGTAGGTATTGCACTAACCCGATGAAGTCAAAGAGAATATACAGTACACACTGGAGTGTTTATCTTGCAGGTTTCAGACACATGAAAAGGTACAATAAACACAGCTGCATTAATAATATGTTTGTTTTGTGCTCTATGATATATGAGTATTATGTTCAAATAAAGTTGCCTTTCTCTGTGTTTATATTGAATTTGTCTAGCTTTGTGATGTGCATTCGATAGATCCTTTCAGGGCCAAGGTGTTTGGAACACACTTCACTGTGTAAACACATTTATGCATCACTCAAGCAGTATGTTTTTCACTGTAGCTGTGCTAATGCGCGATGTACTACATAAGTGCAATGTTAGGCTAGATTACATGGTTAAATTTGGCAGATTAAAAAAAAAATTAAAAATGCAGTTCAGCTTACCTTTAAAAAGAATTACATGTACTTTTTTTTACATACAAATGTATCTGAATTCTATATTGATATCAGCCTCCTGTCATCCCGACTACAGCAGACTGGGAGAGGAAGGGGCAGCACTAGAAACTAATAAAGCTTTGCTACATACATAGGTGCCAACAAGAAACATGCTGACTGAAGGAGAAAGCAGAGTAAACAGAGATGATGACCTATTAGGGTATTGCTTTTCCTTTATTGTCAAATTTGGAGGCTGAGTGGGGCAATGATACCACTGTATCCAAAAAAATCTAAGAGAGTGGTGTCACCCTCTTGTACTGTCTGTCTGAGGTGTATTTACATTGCATATAGCCATAATTGTCCTTCATCTTATCCTTCATCTTAACTTCACAGAAGTCCATGAAGGTCAATAAGCACATTAAAAGCTGAGCTCTGACCCATACTGTTAACCACTGAGACTTCTGCATAGTTTTGTTCTGTAGTAGGATGCTTCAGATAACTCTGGCTATGAGCAGGGACACTCAAAGACTTACTATGTACATAAACAATTTGTGGAAGGTCCTAGTGGGCTTGGACTACATGATTGAGGATAAACCCTGTTTTTAAGTACAAATGTATAATGTTCTGCCAAGAATATAATAGATAGATAGATAGATAGATAGATAGATAGATAGATAGATAGATAGATAGAATGATGTCTTTGGTTAACATAATGTAGATATTTAATATCGTTGTTTGTGTAATTTTCTGCTAGGAGTCCAGAATTGGTAAGATCAGATGGGTCTTTCTCCATTGAAGGAAGACACTCCTCTACAGACTCCAATAAAGCCTCAAGTGGTGATGTTTCCCCATATGACAATAATTCACCAGTATTATCTGAACGGTCAGTTACTGCAAGACAAGAAAATAGCTCTGAAAAGGTCCTCAAGGCTGCAGAACACCAGACGTTGGTTAGCCATTTGCTATCTAAGACAAAGGAAAACGCTCCAGCGCAGTGGTGTTCAAAAGGTATGAAATGCTAGATACATATCATTCTTTTGTTTACATTTTGGAGAAAATAAGATGATAGAATGATTGGAGATAATACATTTTATATATTCTGTGCATATGGATCAAGGTAAACTGTTTTTATATCATACTATGGAGTGAGTGAGGAATGTTCATCTTGCCTATAAGCAGGACTGCATTAAAGTAAACCTGTCTAAAAATCGGGTCCATTCAAACTGTACAAATGATTAAAAATGCATAGGCAGGGATTTTCTTTGGCAAAAATCACATACCAAACTAAAATGTTAGTCTATAGTTACAGGCAGCTAAATGTATATAAGAATGCCAGGTCCTCCTATAGGTATGGCATTTGGATTACTGTTTGGCACTTTAATATGATGGGTAGTCTTACTTGCCACAGGGAGGCTTGGCCGATTCTCGCAGGAAAAGTATAGGTTTATAGCTGGATCTACTAAACAGTTTGTCCTTCAGTCGACCAAGTTTGTGATAGGTTTACTTTAAGAAAAAGATGGGCCAGGTCAAAGATCATTCTATTGGGCCCCAGACTATTTATCTGTCTACCTATCTATCTTATAATCTTCATCTCACATTGATTTTTTTAACTAAACCTGGAAATCAACAAGCCAAAAGGATCTCTTAGATTCCAAATGCCCTGGGGGTATTGGGTAGATAAGGATTCTTTTTACAGTCCTGCAATTTATAGTATGTGGTAGTTTTCTTGTCTTGTTGAGTCTTTTGCTTCTTCTCTCAAACACCATTGACTGCAACATACCTAGAAATTCAATCACTCCACGGCATTGCCTATGAATTGTATCCCTTTCTGTTGCTGTTTTTCTGTGTAGTCTATCATTTTTTGAATTAAAACAGCACAGTCTCAATTTGGCATAGTGTGTAATCTCAGCAGTAACCTGCAGAAATACTAAATACAAAGCTTCATGCAGATGTCCACTAGAGGGAGACTCATCAGATCTGTGTACACAGTGTTGTCATTAAAATGTAGTACAACAAGTATGTAAAATGTGAGTTGCATCAAAGGGTCTTTAATGTAATAATATACTATGTGTACTCACTGAAATACACAACATAATTTCCCTTTTTAGTCTATATTTATTACTGCCTGTGCAATTATAATTGTAAGTTTTTTTGAAATATCAGTGGTTCTTTTTAAAAAAATGAAAGTTTGCATGGTAACAAGGTGGAATGCAATATTTATGCAGATTACTGCTCATACCAAACGTTTCTGTCTATAGTTCTCCTTTGAAAACAGAAACAAAATAGATACGGTTCAGAAATGTTTCAAGAGGCCTTTCTCAATCAACGTTCTGTAAAACCATGGGTTTCCTCCAGAGGTTGCTATGGCTTCATGCACCATTAAGCAATTTCTGCCTCTCAAATAAGTAACCACAGACACAAATGATCTTTTTTAGCTACAGTATCTGTAAGGGGGTCTTTCTTCCCACTGGCCACCAATGTAAGGAGCATTCTACCCACTAACCACTATGCTCATGTACTGTGAGCTGAGGATACAGTAATTATTACCAGGGGTTTTCTGAGACCTGAAAGTTATTTCAAAAGTTCCTTCATGCAAAAAAGTTTGACTGATTTAAAGAAAAGAAAAAAACAGAACACTATTTGAATTGATGATTCATTAATGAACATCATTGATATTTTTTTCCTATGTTAAAATAAGCAGTCTGTGAAAGCTGCTGCATTATACTTTACTAATGCCACTAAAGAGATGGAAGTGCTGTTTAGTTCAAAGGAGGGTGATTCCCTATGTGTGGCTCGCCAATTAGTACAAACAGGGCCGGATTTACCATTAGCACAGTAGGCCTGCCACCATCTGCCTATCGGTAGAAGAGGCAAAGAGGTGGCATTTCCCTGTCCTATTGGCCACATATTTTTTCCCCTTCACCGGCCATCTCATATAAGTTTATTTACACATTGTCAAAACATCCTAAACAAAGTTAGCATCAGTGAAACAAGACAATGTTCTGTGTAAAAGAGGTGTTCCTTTAAAAGGAGTGTTACTTTGGGCTCCAATGGTTGTGTGCCGACAGACTCCCATTATGGAAATCCGGTCCTGGGTAAAGACGTCCTTCTGTCTTCTCTTTCTACATCATTTCAGCTATCCATCTCCTTCTTTCCTTTTTATTAGAGCAACTATACATACAGTCTTTCTTTCATATCAACCTTCAACTTTCTCCTCTTGTTTCCTCCTTGGGCCTAACAGCTGACATGCTTCTCCTTGAGGTATATTTTTCATTGGCTTTTTGTGTTTGTTTGCCTTATTTTTGTGAATGCACAATCAATAATAAATGTTTTTTGTTTCAGAATCTGCACAGGAGCACTTCGACATATGGGGTACATGGCATTCCACACTAAAATCTTCTTGTAAGGATGAAGGAATGACAGGTAGGATATGCTGTCTTTTTCCAGGAACAGACAACCTTTGCAAATTTTGGGCACAACACAAAATTATAAGAAATAGGCAAAGTAAATATTAAATTGTTATCAACTTTGCCATTTTATGATGGTACCTGCTTCAGCAAGTCAGATTTCTAGGGATACTGGACAACAAACCAGCAATTTCTCCCAACAATACACCTTCCCACAGCCACAATTAGATTCTTACCCTCAACTGTGCCAAATTGATTAGTTAAGGGCACCTTCCAGTGTGAGGAGGCACTGCTGCAGCACACAATAAACATTTTTTTTTTAACCTGACATACATTAATGGTATTTTGTACCCCTGGCTGTAATTCTTCTTTAAACCCTTCGTGACGGGAGACGTACACTGTACGTCTCGCCACAAAGTGCTTAAATGATTGGCCACGTACACTGTACGTGACCAGTTATTTGTGGCTCTGTAAATATCTGTAATATTGAGGTATTCATTAATGAAATAGTTAAGCCGTTACATACAAATACCGGATCGCTAAACAGCAATCCCGTATTTGACAGCTGAGGATAGAAGAGAGGTAGCAGAGTGAGTCACCTCTCTGCTATTCATTTGACAGCTCCATAGACTGGCCCCACATCTATGAAGCTGTATGATACATTTCAAGCACAGGAATATTACAATGTATCTCTGTGCCTGAAATGTATCACTTCTGATCGTCTGGCCACGATCAGAAACCTTTAGGCTGGGTTCAGAAGTGAAATCCTATTAATCCCTATGGGCATGGTTCCCACCTGGGCGTATTTCAGCGCGATTTGTCACGCTGAAAAACGCCCTATGTGCGAAAAAGTATTTGAGCTTCTTTTTCGCACGTAGGGGCAGATTTCTGTGCGTATCCATTGGTATTCCCTGTAATTTTCTGTACCAAAGCGGTACCCAGAGCCACACTTGGGAATACAGCGTATGTCTTACCTTGTCCGTGATCCCCGCTGTGTCCTCCGGCCGCTGCTGGCATCTGTCTTCTGGGTTCCGTCCCTTGCAAGCGTCCGCATCGCAGGGGGGCGGAACCGGAGGGAAGTTTAAAAGTAAAAAAAAAAATGAAAAACCGATAGAGAAAAAAAAAATCATACCGCCAGGGAGGTTACAAAATGCGCGTCGAACGCACGTTTTATTGGGCAAAAAAACGTGCTTCAAACGCAAGGGCAAAAACGCGCATAAAACACGCCTATTAGGAATGCCCAGGTGTGAACCCAGCCTTAGTTCACACCATAAGCAGTGCTTTCCGGTCCGATTTTGGCCAGAACGCACTGCCTCGAATTGCAGCCAGCTCACTTTTTTCCGGGCTGGAGGGGGCGTGACATTAAAGTGAATGGCACCGTAGCCACGCCTCCCGGCCGCAATACTGTCGCCCGCACGGAATCGCAAGCCACATCGCGCCTGCAGTGCGGTGCGATCAAATTGCTGCAAGCACTATTTTTATCGCACTAGACCACAGGCATAATGTGCCTTGCGATCCCGTGTGGATGATCGCATTGCAGCCGCAGGGCGTGGTTATGTTGCCATTCACTTTAATGGCCCGCCACTCCCCCTCCTGCCCCACTAAAAAGGTAGCCGGCCGCAATGCGATGCAGTGCGTTCTGGCCAGAATTGGGCCAGAACGCACTGCATCTGGTGTGAACGAGCCCTAACAGTTCTCAGATAAGGCTTGTAATAAGGTGGCACCATTTGACTTCAGATCAGGCAGGGTTAGCTGTGTCTTGCATAGTGTAGAATAGTTTAATTCTCAAGCTGATGTGTCTGTACATTGGGCTAACCTACAGAAACTTAAACCTAAAGGATGCCGCTGGTACTGTTAATATCATTCCGGCAATCTTCTGGTGCAAAACAAAACTGTGGTGTACTTTGTTGTATATATAACTTATTTAGTATTTGCACTGGTGTGCTTGTAACTCAAAATATTATTATTAGTTGTAGTAGTATATCTGTAAAAAAAATAAGTCAAGGCAACTGGACTTATCTGTGAAAGTAGTAGTAGTAGTTTTCATTTTTTTCATTTTTTTTAATTTTCCAATGTGATAATGTGCCAATTGTTTTATTGTAGATTGTTGTCCCTATTGCCCTCCTCTTGTTGCATTTCTGAATGCCAGTACAAGTTGTATTTCTTGGAAGCAGCAACATTTTCTTTTTTTTAAGCTGCTTCAATGTGAATACACCCATAGACACATATTTATTGAGATGCTGTGTTAAATCCATGTTGCATTGAATTAGTTAATATTATTAAAGTGATACTAAACTCAGGAGTTACATTTTAAAAATGCATTTAAGTACCTTACTACTAAAGGAGAATTATGGGGTGAGTGAAAAACACTCATCCCCCATAATTCAAGTCGTCCTGTGACAATTAAGCTGTCACAGGTTGGCTCAATTGATTGGGAAGTCAGCGAACACATGCCCCCAATCGCTGACTTCCCGATCATCTCCCTGCAGAGAGCGGTGACTGTCAGTCACCGTTCCCTGCAGGGATTTTGCCCCTCCCCTCTCTGATCCTCCAGCACTGATTGGAGGAATGGACGGAGAGGGGGCGGACACAGCTGGCTCTTCCTCTAGATAGGCTGAGCCAGCTGTCAATCAGCCAACGGGGTGGATCTCGACAGTATTGTCGGGATCCGTCCCACCTGCAGGGATCTCAGTATATATCGGACAATAGCTCGCTATATACTGAGCTTTGGGTCACAAGAGAGGGTTAGTATACCCTGATGAGAACTATGGGGAAAAAAGGTTACCCCATAGTTCTCTTTTAACTATTAAAAAATATATATATCTTATTTGTTTATCACTTAGCTGTAGATGCTCAAATCATCTCTGAATTGGTGCTGACACTGTCCTTCCTTCTGTGGAGGGTGGCTAATTTTGTTCTCCATGGTCCCTGTGTGTGTGTTGTAAAGTAGCCACCACTCCAAGCTCACTCCTGTGATAGACTACAATCTCATGTTTAGTTTACTCGTTTGTATTGAGATTGTGACAAGCTTCATTTTAATTGTTCATGTCTATGTTTTCTCCTTTAATCGTTCTAACACAATATATTTCATTCTCCTCCTAGGTTCATATGGGAATATCTATGAAAGTAGTTCCTTGCACCAAGGACAGTGTTCTCTTTCCCAGGGTAATCTGGCACAGAACTGGTCTTTGTGTAAAAATTCATTAGCTGAAGTGGACAATGGCAAGCCAAACATACGAAGGACAAATACATCAACTGCCATTCCAGAGTTTAGACCTCACAATTTAGTGACACGTATTTGCAGTACTCCACAAACAGATACAGCTAAAAGAAATCTTGAACACAAGACAAGATGTGAGCAACACTTGGCCTCAAACAGTACAGAAGATGTAACAGAGGACAATGCAACAGTAACATGTGCTCCAAACAGACCACCTCCTTTGAACTTGCGCCATTCTGACATCAATAGAAATGAAGCAAGGCTTCCGCCACCCTATCCTGGTTCAACAAAACAAGCTACAATGCAGCCTCAACGATTCCCATTGTATTCAGCAGAGCAGCCAGTACTGAGGCCACCAAGGTCCGAAACAGTTGTTGGGGCATCTTTAGGAAGGACTCCATCTAGTGAGCAACCTGTTCAGACTAGACAAACTTCTTTAAAAACTCCAACCAACAGCCAAAACAGTAAAAACTTGACAGATCCTGACTGGCAGGAGTGGCAAAGAGAAAGATGGCAGATATGGGAACTTCTTTCAGCCGATAACACAGACACACTACCTGAAACACTAGTATGATGCTTTGGTTGTCTATGACATTGACATTTAACTGCTAGGGGACTAAACCAAACAATGGAATAGTTGTAAAAAATTGTGTTAATTTTGTTTCCACATTTTTATCTGACTTTTTTCTTAAAATTAATACTTTGATAACATTGCCAAATATCCACAACTTTATTTGGTTACAGTGTACCTTTCATGGCTTCTTCACTGCTCTGGCAATTCCCAGCATATCATTATTTCTAAGCCATGCCTACAGATCATTACACATTTTAGCTACACAATGGTAGCATGGGCTGTAATGAGCAGTTGGTCTGGTAGGTTACTAGGGAGGCCTTAAATGGTACCCTGGTCTTGGCTTTGAATATTCTCGATTCACCTTTCCTAGTAATGAACTGTATTTCATGGGCACGTGTCGAAAGCTAAATGAACAAAAGCTTTTTAACTGCACTTGGCTCACCATTATACATTTTTTTAGCAATTTTAACATGTGCACAAGCTGGTTTATGTGCTTTGAATCAATTTTATCAAATAAAAAAAAGTGAAACTATCTTTTTACATTGGTTGAAATTGCCAAATTCTAAAAAAAATATTGTTGAACAGGGTCATGCAAATTCCATTTTACTGATTTGCAACTATACAGAGTAAAAGATTATTCACTAAAAAGGTCTATTTTCAAGCTAATGTGCTTTGTACAGCAGTGATCCTGCATGAACACTTGGTAATTTGCTTATCCTTTTCAGTGCTGCACTGCCCTGCTCTGTGACATATGCTGGTCTGTGGATCAACGTTGTTATCAAACACAGTTATATACACTATATAATATATCAATATCTTGTGTACTTTCCTGTATTGTTTTCCAACAATAAACTGGAATCACTGTAGCATTTAAAA